CTGCCAAATCTCTCGATTCTGCTAAGGTTCCATCTATGAACCCTAACTTGTTTTATATTTTCAATGTGCGTATCATGGATTTATGTCATACACAATAGTTTCTGGCCTTAAGCAACTAAGGGATAAAGACTGTACTTGAATTTAAGTTTTTCTCAATATAGTATGGACTATTCGAATTCAAAAGATCTAAATTTGTCCTAATTAGAAGTGTAGGGTTTTGATTTATAGTAATTTAGTTTGAATTTTCAATATCTAGTTATACTCTATGCTCTAATATCATATAATAAATCAAAATTCTTGTGTCTAAACTAGTTAGCTATCAAAGGTTACTAATAATACAAGGAAGAAGACTAGTGAAAATATCTCAACTCTTTTGAAAAGGCGATCTGCAGAACCATCAAGCTAAAGAAGAAAAAAAAAAAAAAATCCTATTAGGGTCTTGCGCAGCGAGCGAGAGTTTGTGAGCGAAGCAAGGTTTTATGTCTCGAATGACTCTCGTACACCAACAGCATACTCTCACTCTATCATTGTCTTTGAGATTAAGTGAAATCTGTGTATTTTGCACTTTAATCTTCTATGGATTTGGGCTCACGGCCCACATACTTCCAGTCCTTTGTTCGTTGATATAAATTTTAAATTTTTTTAATAGAATTCATGTACTAAATTAATTAAACTATCTCAAACACTTGGAAGTTTGATAGAAAAAAATTTATTTCAATGACTTATTTTTTGAAGTAAAAGTAAAATTTTGTTGGAACAGAAGCAAGGACAATCTCCCCCAAAAGATGCCCAGAAATCCAAAATGAGAACATTACACTCGAGGACACTAACATGTCACAAAACTTATACGAACAAGCCTTTGCCTCAGCGAAACACCGAAAAGCATCAGACAAGGCCAAGCCCGCTCCACGCGTTGGGCCTTACATAGATTGAACAGAATGTGTGAGTGTACATATATATATATATATATATCTATTTAAACGTTGAGATTTCACAAATGATGGTATTGGAAGGCACAAGAGGAAGAAATAATGAGGGTAGTTATATAAGATTATAATTAAATTAAATTAAGATGATTGATTCTCAGTGAAGAGTAGTTTTTTGGCTCATCTTCCATGACGATGAGTACCCACAGATTTTAATATCAGGTGCTTCCTGAAATGCACACGTACCCTAATACTACCTAGAATTGATTATTTGGACCACTCTACTCATTTTACTCTCTCTTCTTTCTTTAATGCGTAAGGTCAGGCCATCACCACCCTAACACACTTGAGAATGTCCTCCTTTTATATTATATATATATATATATATATGTATGTATGTATTCATATTTTGAAATCCTCAATATATATATATATATGTATCAAGGCTGAAGTTAATATTATCTGCATTTCCCAATGACTTTTTAATTGATGATGCGCATTTAATGTTCCAGCTCAACTCATGATGATCCAAAATTAATGACAAAGCTAATAAGGATATGACCACAAGACAGACTTGATACCACTTTTAGAAGTTACAGTTACTCTAAAATTTCAAATCAGTTATTCCTTTTATTAATTACGGTTACTCTTTTTAAAAAAAAAAAAAACAAAAAAGAAAAGAAAAATTGTGTTTAAGTCTTTAAAAAAATATGTATTTTCAAATCAGATAAGATTATGTGTATTTTTATTTAAAAAATTATATTATTATTAATATATACGTCACTTGAGTAATAATGTTCGCAAGAGCTAACAATGAAATATTTCATTTTTATATTTAGTCAAACTTAATTTGAGATTATATTCTTAATGATACTGTAATGGTTATTATTGGAATTATCTGGTTTAGCAGACAAACAAAACAAATAGGGAAGCGTTTTTATTTCTCTGCCATTTCTTCTGGCTTTTGTTTTTCCTTTTCAAAAAAAAAAAAAAAAAAAAAAAAAAGTTTCTTAGCCTCTTAGATATCACATTTTCTTTCTGCTCGTGCATAAGTTATTGAGCTTATAATCAGCCATGGAAGAGACGAGAAATTAAGTTTGATACAATTACACACACACACACACATTTATATATAATTTTCTCTGGTGGTGAATATCCTAAGACTGGACGTTCTTACACAACACTTAAAAGAGTACATATATAGATACACATGGTACATTCCCCATGACAAAATCTGCTGTATATATATATACGTGAAGTGAATTATTATTGCATAGAGATCAGCAACCTGTAACCAAATAAGTGAAGCCAAAAATCAAACTGTTGACTGCTGAAGCTTTTTACTTACTGCATATCCAATTGGGTAATTGGAAAATGAATGGTACCTGAATTAGGGAAGCTAGTAACTGAGCTTGAGGTAAATATATTTCAATTGAAAATCTGTATATGCAGTACTAAAAAAAAGCCAGAGAAAAGATTCTTATCCATTGAAAACCTCGTTCTTTCTCTTCATAATAACCACAAAATGAAGTCTTAACCTTTTCTCTTGGAGGATACTATTACTACGTGTTCATAAATAAAAAAAATTAAAAAAAAAAAAAAAAAAAAAAAAAAGCAGCTAGTGCATGCATTGTAATCAGTGGCCTGAAAGCATGTCAATTTGGCTTACTCTTTTGAGTAAACCAGCAATTGGTTCTATTGCCTGTTCTTTAATTATTATAAGTCTGCATTATGATATGACTGGATAATGTAAGCCCAGAATTTTAGGATTTCATAAGAATAATCTTTCAATCTGTTGCTCCAGATGGCAGAAGTGTACACCATTTACCCCAGGAAAAAAATAAATAAATAAATTACTCTATTCAACATGAATGGGGTAAAAGCACAGGAAATTTTCTCTCCTAATTAATTAAACTTCAATCGATTGGGCCATTTGTTTAAATAGTTGTAGGCCTTATTTTTTCAAGTTATAGGCCCATTGGCAGCCTATGACACAAAGTGGAAATGTATAAACATTCAACCAATTGGGCATCCCAAACAAGTGCAGTGCTACAAGATTTGTATACACACCCAAAAGAAAATTAAAAAAAAAAAAGAGAGCAAAATAATTAATCTGTTCTTACAAAAGCTAAATTTTAGGTGCATCCATGGCTTGATCGTTATACTGTCAACATGGATAATGTCAAAGATGTTCAATCAGTGGAGTGAGTTGTTTACTCTTAAAATAAATGAAATAAGTTAGAAGTAACATTTTAAAATGATAATCCATCAATTAATTGAAGATTAAAAACAAATAAAGTATTTCAACTTAAAGAAGTATCTATCAGCATTGCAAAAAATTAGTAATGAATTGGACAGGGGAAGGGTTTTAGCAAATATGAACTGGACCCAATCCGAAAGCCGTAATGAAAAAGTCGTACTACTCAAACCTGATTTTACTCAAAAATAGTTAAAATACTTTATCCAACATGTTTGCTCCAAATTATTTTATAAAAATTTTAATTAGTCACTAAAAATAGACAAATAATTTGTGTTGGTAGTTAAAATTTTAGTTCTTTTTGTCTGTCAAACACCTCCATTGCATGAAGCACATACCACTATATGCCCATAACAACCAAGTGTGTGCTTGTTGCACATTAAACGTTGTTTTTTCCTAACAATTTCACTAGCTGCTTGATGTCTCTCTCGATATTGTTTTTATGGAATGCTTATATCTTTATATTCAATACGTTATTGTATTTTATCTCGCAATCTCCAACATCTACCTCTGATTTTCACCATCCTACATGATTCAATAGTTATTTTTAATCTTATTTATTAGTCTAATGAATTATCATTAAGCAATTGACTTTTTATCTTATTAAATATAATCATAATATCTTATTATTATATAATTTATTTTTTACTATCGTATGTATGAAAAAATACATGTCTATAATCTTTTTATAAGAGATCACGAATCGCATAAGTTCAATAACGTGTAATTTTTTTTAT